TGATGAAGCAGGCGAGAGCCAATGGGTGTTTGTTTTTCCTGCCGTAAAACCTGTCGTCTCTTGAAGTGGCAACATTTGAATTTAACAAGTGTGTCAGGTTTTTGATGCTAACGTTCGCTGCTCAGGATGGAGATCGCTGAATAAAGGCTTGAGTTTGGGACTGCTCCTCGAAATCACATGGATTTTAAACATTCGGATTACAGTGTATGAACAAAATTGATTCTTTTAGTAATTATGTTGCATTTTTGGTTTATTTTATGGTTCTATTTTCAGTCACAGCATGTCGGAGAAAAGGCCTTTCGTGTCCCATCGCAAACAAAGTAAATATTACATGATAAGTAATGGTTAAATGATTGCAGAAATGTTATTAATTTTAAGGGTTTAAAGTGTAGACTTGTTTAACATTATGTAGGCCTATTCTTGGAAACAATCTGGCCGTAGAAATCATACAGAACAGAAAGAAATATTATCAATTTATATTAAGTAAACGAGTAAACAATCTTATAATGCAATTGAAAATATAATGCCATTGATATGACAACTGAAAACAATAATAACTTCAATTTCAATAATTTTAATATTCATAAGGATTAATTTTTAGGTGTCGTCAATACATCAGTATTGTATGTTAAAATGCTGAAAATACATATGTGCACATTTAGATGCTGTAAATACGTCAGTATTGTACGTTGTAGAACGTGTAAAATGCATTTTATGTATGTTTAATAGTACTCTAGACGTTGTGAAAGAAGAAAGAACATGAAAAAACATAACCAGCAGCAAAAAAATAAAAATTACTTTGATCAGATTTTATAAAGCAAAAGCTTGCTGCACAGAAAGAAAGAGAGAGAGAGAGAGAGAGAGAGAGAGAGAGAGAGAGAGAGGGAGATGGGGAGTATTTGCATTTGTTTCAGAGCCAAAAAGCTAAAAAAGAATAAGATGCTGAAGATTGTACTTCATCATGACAAAATAATGGCTTTGTGGTTGTTTCCCATCTTTGTGGCTCTCTTCAAATCTGAGGAAATGGCCTGGCATTTGTTGCACTTAAGAGATGCAGATGAGACACAGAGATTCTGACTCACCTCTTTCCGTCGCTGGTATATATCACACTATTTCACGCTAGACACACCAAAGCTAACATCCGAAAACACACGAAAGATCAGTGGTTTAGCAAAGACTGAAGTACCATCACACAGCAAGACAAACAATACATAATCTTCTAAAACACAGTGTTGCATCTGGTTTAACAGGGGAAGAACCAGAGCCATTATGCATTGTGTGTTTTGATAATTAAATTAAGCGAGGCTTGCAAATTATTTTGCCAGGCTGACATGCATACAAATTTGCTTGTCGTATTGTTTTAGAAATACAAGACATATGAACCTCGTCAAACATGAAGAGAGCAATACAGGACTATATTTGAATTATTTATTGTGCAAACAAAACAATAAAATCATGAGACTCATGCCTTATATTTCATTTTCAGTTTTGCATTCAAATATTTAAAGAGACACAGACAGAAACAGTATGCAAAGGAATTTAGGCTACTTCATATATGTACATATAAGTACATATCCCTAACAGAAATGTGTGTGTGTGTGTGTGTGTGTGTGTGTGGTTTCCATGGTTACTCCCTCCTGAGAGTAACTGTTCTTGCTAAGTTAAGGATGACAACACAGTGTATGTGTTTCCATGGTTACTCACTCCAGATTTTGGTTTGTCTTTGCACAGTTATGAAGCGAAAGGGTCTTTCTATATACATTTTCATGCTTATGCATGGATGTTTGTATATTTGCATGAGCAAGCATGTGCTCATATGTAACTGACATTTTGCACAAAAGGTACACTAAATTTTAAAGTGGTCAAGAAATAGAGAATTAATATGTGCCTTAATATGTGTCATCCAGTGTTGAGAAGGTTACTTTGGAAATGTAATAAGTTACAGATTACAAGTTACCCTATTAAAAATTTTATAGTAGTGTAACTATTTCAATAACTTTATTGAAGTAACGTAACTGATTGTTTTTGATTACATTTCTAAATTTACATTTCTAAATTGTCTAATCTGTTAAAGCATGTACATGAGCCCAGATAGGAAATAAAACAGTTATTAAATAAGCATGTGTCCTATTCTGTGTCCTAAATTTCTAAAAACACTGGAGTCTTATATTTTAGAACAGTCAATGCAATTTGGGAAAGAAATCAATCAAATCTGTATGTGTGTGTGAAAATATTCAGATGTAATCCTCCTTTGTAATCGTTAACATTTTCATAAGTACCCGTAATTAGATTACACATTTTTTCTCAGTAACTGTAACTGATTACAGTTACATTTATTTTGTAATTATCTTACATAATTCTGTTACATGTAACTAGTTACTCCCCAACACAGGTGCCATCATTGTATGTAAGTAATCAAGGAAGAACAACTCTTGTCAAGAGTCATACTGCTGTTGGATAAAGATGTTGTAACGTCAAACTCAGTGGATGTAAAGAAACTGCCCCTCCAAAAACTTTGAATAGCCTTCCTAAAGTTTTCTTTCGTTCTTCACATTTCACAACACACTGTTTTGCAACCGGTACAATGAAGATAGCCAATCACAGCAGTGGGCATTTACTTCCACTTCTGTAAGCGCTAACACCCTTTGAGACTGAGTGTTTCTTTTTTTTCAAAGATAGTGAAAATGGTGCTATTTACTAATACTGGGCATTTTGTGGCGCTAAAACTTTGCTAACTTTATCTAACCTCGAGCAATGACCCCTTTAATAATTTGCAGTTGCGGATGTGCAGGTGCATCGGTGTTCTCCTCACTCACTCTGTACCGTAGCAGTCCTGGTGCAGTTGTAGAGGATGGCGAGCTCTCCAAACACCTTCCCTGGTCCCATGGTGCAGAGTTTCATGCCTTCCTTTGTCACCTCCACCTTGCCATCTGAAAGCAATCAGAAGATAAATCCTTAAGTCCATTGATGATGCTCTGTTCATGAAAGTAAGCATGACAGTCTGGAAATGCATCCGTGCCGGCTGCCTGGATCGGACCGAGCCTGGCCTAATACATTCCAATAACTGTCTCATTTCATTAAGCCAGCAGACATGAGCAGAAGCTTCGATGGGAGTGGGGGATGTGGGAAAGGTAGGAGCTCTCTAATGTAATGGGCACAGAGAGAAATAGGCCAGTGAAAAGATGGGGAAAAAAGAAAGGAGTTCAGGATTAGCAGAGTATTACGCCTAAACTATTAGATGAGATGCAGTGAAACCATACTGAGGGCCTGGGACTGTTATTTCAGGATTCATGCGTAATAACTGTTGTCCATTTTAATACATGTTAAAAGGTTAGTACACCCAAAAATGAAAATTCTGTCATTAATTACTCACCCTCATGTCATTCCAAACCCGTAAGACCTTTGTTCATCTTCGGAACACAAATTAAGATATTTTGTTGAAATCTGAGAGCTCTCTGATCCTCCATAGACAGCAAGGATACTATCACGATCAAGGCACAGAAACGTAGTAAGGACATCGGTAAAATAGTCCATGTGACATCAGGGGTTCAACCGTAATTTTACGAAGCAACGAGAATATTTTACCGATGTCCTTACTACGTTTCTGTGCCTTGATCGTGATAGTATCCTTGCTGTCTATGGAGGATCAGAGAGCTCTCAGATTTCAACAAAAATATCTTAATTTGTGTTTCGAAGATGAACAAAGGCCTTACGGGTTTGGAACAACATGAGAGTCAGTAATAAATGACAGAATTTTCATTTTTGGGTGAACTAGGCCTATCTATTTGATAAATGATGTTAACCAGCAAACATTATACATATTCTTTTGGTTTCTGTACCCAATATTTAAAAAATTTATAAATACAATGAAAATACAAGTATCGGTACTCGGTATCACAAGTTACAAAAAAAAAAGTATCGGTATCGGCCAAGTAGTGGAAAAAGTGGTATCGGTGCATCCCTAACACACTTGTTCCGTCGAACAGTTGTAAAAGCACAATATCACACTCGTAGCCATGAAATATGGCTGTATATCGGCACACTGTGATTACCTACGGGCGAATCACAGCCGTGCCAATATACAGCCATATCTCATGGCTACGAATGTTATATTGCTCATATAGGGTTGGGAAGGTTACTTTAAAAATGTATTTCACTACAGATTACAAAATACACACTTTAAAAAAGTAATTTGTAAAATTTTATTAGATTACATGTTTTGTACCTTAACCCTCTATGGCATAGTGTTGCCCAACAGACCACTTTTTTGGACCTATGTATACAAATAATATTACCTGACATGTCTGTTCAATAAAATGATGGGCTGAAGTGGGTGTCGCCTTTTGTTTGGGGATGGAGCAGTCATTTTAGGAAGCAAAGCATGGGACACAGTGCTACAAATTGGTCAGATAAATAGCACTGTTTAACATGTTTAAAATTAAATAACTTCATATAAAAATATATATGCATGTGCATCAATATGTAAATAAGTATGTTTGATTATTAAAATACTTATTTTGTTTTTATTTATATACTAAAACTGTGTTTTTTTGTTTGCTGCCTCAGGGCAACATTGTGCAGTTAGAGCACTTTTGTTCAGGCAATAGGCCTATCTTGCTAAAGTGTGGATGCATATTAGAACCATATGGTGCATTCAAGTCCTCCTATGAATTTTTCTGTTTACGAGCTCTGAAAACTCAAAGAATGTGCATTATGTGTGTAATTGATATTTATTATTATTATTATTATTATTGTTATGCTGCCACAGAGAATCAAGCCTGTCAGCTGATAAACTGACTAAATGAGTAGTGTTTTCTGGCAAACTTTATCATCACACACACACACACACACAGTGGCACACACACACACACACACACACACACACACACACGCACACACACACACTGGCACACACACACAGTTACACGCCCACAGTTACACACACGCACTGACACA